TGAGGGTTGTGATCCGTTGCCGGACACGGAAAAAGATAAAAGACAAAAAAAAAAAAAAAAACATAAACCAATTCTGAGTATTCTGTTTATCTTTTCCAAAAAAGTTAATTTAAAATTATCGACTTCTCTGGATAGGCAAAAAGATCGTACTTCTTTGCTTGTTTTTTTGTTTTGTTTTTTTCTTGTTTATTTGTTTATTTGATAAGTGTCTTCATGTATGTTTCAATCTCCATTAGAAAAAAAATTTTTTTAATGATTATTTCTCTGTGTTAGACTTACCCATAAAAACGTGAACTCAATAGAGATTTATCCTGGAGATGGATCTATTTTCAAATCAGAAGGAGCTTATTTTGGAAACTATTTTACATATTATTCCAATCAAGGAAGATCAGAAGAGGTAAGCCAACAATAAGATCTCAACTCAAGAAGAGTTTTGGTATATATATCTCTTTATAAATAATTCCAAATATGTATGGGAAATTTGGTCTTTATGTAACATCGCTTCCTACTCTCTAGTCTGGAGAATTAGTATAATCTTACTGCCAGCATTGGCACAGTAATTATTAACCATCTTAATTTTACTATATTCCCACCTGCTGTCATCTGTTTGCTTAAGCAATTTATGTTTGAATCAGAAACTAAATTTCTTCTGTCTTAAAATTTATCAGTAGGAAATGCTGAAACCAGAAGCATTACTTTGAGTCAGTATACTACTTCGAGTTAATATTTGCACATTAAAAAGCACATTCTTGTTAAAATTTATCAGTAGGAAATGCTGAAACCAGAAGCATTACTTTGAGTCAGTATACTACTTTGAGTTAATATTTGCACATTAAAAAGCACATTCTTGGGGGCCGGCCCGTGGCTCACTCAGGAGAGTGTGGTGCTGATAACACCAAGGCCACGGGTTCGGATCCCTATATAGGGATGGCCGGTTGCTCTCTTCAGAGAGCATGGTGCTGACAACACCAATTCAAGGGTTGAGATCCCCTTACTGGTCATCTTTAAAAAAAAATAATAAATAAAATAAATAAATAAATAAATAAAAAGCACATTCTTGGGGCTGGCCCATTAGCTCAAATGGTTAGAGCACAGCCTTGTAACACCAAGATCAAGGGTTCAGATCCCCTAACTGGCCAGCAGCCAGGAAGAAAAAAAACAAGAACAAAAATAAAGCACATTCTTTTTCCCCCACCATGATTTGTTTGTATATTTTAAGTACCTCTTAACTCCTAAATCTTTATATACAGCTAGACAGTTGGAAAAGATTATTCTCTGTTGTTGAAAACAATGAAACATAAAATGATATATTTACCAGACCATAATGTAATAATGTGGATATTTTGTTAATGAGTTTTAGTTTGCTTTATTCCCAGTCTGACATTTGACAACCACCCTTTTATAGTGATCACCATAATATACTACTTTGCTTTGCAGGTTGGAACAGAATAAATACATTTTCTCTCTCCATTGTAGAGAGTATTATTTAAGTAATAAGGTTATTACAGTCCCTAGGGAGAAGAGTTTAAAATGTAGCAAATTTTTTTACGTATGGAAAATTTCAAACATATACAAAAGTTGAGAGACAAATAAAATGGACCCCCATGTACCTGTCACCCAGCTTGTTTATCTGTACTTCCCATTGCCCTCTCTACTCCCTTTTTATTTTCAAGTAAATCCCAAATATTTCATTCATAAATATTTTAGTATATATTGAAGCAGATTCCCTACTGGGTCTATTTCTAGGAAACTATTCATTTATTCAATAAATATTAATTGAACACTTACACTTTGGCAGGCACTCTGGTAAGGACTGGGAGTGATGAAGATGAAAACAGTTCCTGTGCCCAAGGGTTCACAGTCTAGTGGTCAGTCAGAGAGGCAAATAAGCAAATGAGATGGAAGTGTGACCAATACTATGTATGCTTATATATGTGGGTACATGTGTGCATGTAGTGCCTGAGATAATCAAGTAAACAGGCAAATAGACTATGTATGTATAGTCACACTGTTGACCGCAGTATAGCAGGAGGTTGCAAAATTGCAAGATAAATATTATACATCTTCTAGTTTTACTCAACGCTATCAGGGGAGGGGGTGATACAATTTCGATATCAAAGCAAACATAACATGGAGTAAAAACATGAGCTTTTAGAATAAAACATAAGACTTCCAAATAAATTTTGCAATTGTGGTAAACTGCCTTGGCCATCAGTCTCAGATCTCTGGGCAACACATTTATTCTTCTCTGTCTGCTTTAGTAAAAAGATTTAAAAACACTTGACTCTTTGGAGGACAATTGTTTGCTCCTTACTTGAACCCATACTTCAAAATAAATTCCAGATTAATTAAAGAGCTAAATGTAAGAAACCAAACTTTGTAATTGTTGGAAGAAAATATAGAAGAACAATGTTTATAATCTTTGGGTAGGGGAGGCTTTCTTAAGGACAATACAGAAAACCAAGAGGCAGAAAAGTTTGACAGATTTCAAATTTTCAAGCTTATGTTAAATTTTAAATATTTAAAACTTCTGTTAAATTAGATAAAGTAAAAAAGACAAACAAAGGCCTGGAAGAAAATATCCCTTGCTACAAATCAGTAGTAGGGCTGTCTGGTTAGCTCAGTTGGTTAGAGTGTGGTGCAGATAAATTGGTAATAAAAAAAACCCTCCCCCCAAAAAAAAACTAATAGAAAAATGAGCAAAGGGTAAGAATGGTTAAGCCATTGAAAAGGCAATGTAAATAAAAACTCATAATATCTTAAAAACATGTTCAGCTTTATGACT